CCATCTACTCCTCACACTCTAGTTCACCCCCATCTCCAACTCCAACTCCAACTAAGCATCAATCAGGAATAGAAACTGAAGAACTTCTTTAATTACTTAGAAGTCAGGATCACTGATCAAACGATTAGCAAAATAAAATTAACCAATTGGAAAAAAGATTATCAAATATTGAGAGAAAGCATAAAGAGAAATTGTAATACAAATCTTATTTGAGCAGGATGGTCTAATGAGTAGAATCAAGACAAGGCCGAAAGAGGAAGAAATTTAAATCCCCTTACACAAAATTTCCAATTAAGAATAGAAAAACTGAGGTCACCATAACCAAGCCAAAAGATAAGGTGGTAGAAGAATTGGATATTGGGGAAGCATTAAAGTCACCTAAATCTACTTCGGTTGAGGAAGACAAGAAAAAGGAACCAAACGAAACTGATTTTTTTGAGATCGGGAAGGGGAACGAAGTTCCTGTTTTCATGGAGGAGGAAAATGGGAAGAAGATTTGAATAATTTTGCTCATGAATACCAGATAAGGTATATTAATTTTAAAGTTTTTCATTACATTACACTATATTCTAAAGTACTTTTGTATTTTGAATATGAAACATCAACACGCGATGATAGTTATGAACTTCCCAACAAGGAATGAGATGTCCTTGCATATGTCAGAGGTAATTACTTCAAAGTAATAGTATATTTATATATCAATTCTTGTATATGTTATTACTGAGGACATGATACAATGTTTTTAAATTTTAATAGTATATATCAAACTAATAGTGTATTAATTTAAAGTTTACAATTACATTACACTATATTCTAAAGTACTTTTGTATTTTGAATATGAAACATCAACACACGACGATAGTTATGAACTTCCCAACAAGGAATGAGATGTCCTTGCAGATGGCGGAGGTAATTACTTCAAACTAATAGTATATTTATATATCAATTCTTGTATATGTTGTTACTAAGGACATGATACAATGTTTTTTAAATAAAATCAATGTGCAATAATTTGTTCTTCGTTCGATGATCTGTTAATGAGTCAAGAGTTGGCCAAAGAGCATACCGATGCATTTGTATTTTTACTAGTTGAGAAAAGAAATAAAAATCTTGAATTATAAAGACCATACATGTATATTTCTCCAATGTATTGGGTTAGTATGAACCCAACATTATAATTTATATTATTCATAAATAATTTACACATTTGCGTAAATGTAAATAACATGAACCAACATAATTTTTTAGGTCTATTTCCAACGAAATATTGAGGGTTAAATTTTTATAAGCCACATCACGAATGAAAATATTGAAAAAACACATATTTTTCTAATTATGATAATCCATGGCCCACACTAGAATTTACTAGTTGGGGAGTTAAAGTTGAAAAAATGGTTTCTATATGACTCACTTCCCAAACAAACTCACAAAGAAATATGTCATGATATTGCGAGGAAATACATTAGCACATTCTTCAAAATGATCATCATTTGTTTAGTTTTAAAATTTAAACTACTCGACATAACTTTCTTTATTTTGAAGGTCAAAACCATTGCAAAAGTTGTCAACTCTGTGTTTGAGACTGATTCCAAAACATGACCAATTAGTTTACATAGAGGATCAACAACACAGACGAACAACATTGATTGTGGAATGTTTGTCTACAAATAGATGAAAAAAATAAGCACCGAGAAAATAAATTGGGATGATTGCTGAGTGTGGCAGCTTAGCATGACACGTTTTAGAGCCGAATTTGTTCACTAACTCTCTATGTTACTGTTAGAAAATCGTTCGTAATCATCAACACTATGAGAACTTTATGTATATATTGTGAATTCTAGATAAAGTTAGGATGTGGATGGATATGTTAGAGCATTGATATATACATCAATGATAACTGTTGCTTTTAGCAATAATTTTTTTACTTGTTTATAACCGTTAATATTTATAATTGCTTATAGTTTGTTTATAAGTGTATATATTCACTTTTTGATATACATTGTGTTTTACATGCTTTAGTTTACCACCAAAATTACACTTGAATACCATCAAAATACCACAAGAATATCACGAGAATGCCACCATAATATTACAAGAATACCACCAGAATACTACAAACAAATCACTATAATGACACAAGAACACCATTAAAATATCACAAAATACCACCAGAATACCATATAAATTTTACTAGAATATTATAATACTATCAGAATACCGCGAGAATCCCACCAAAATTCAACTAGAGTACCACAATAATATAATAATAATGCCACCAAAATACCACTAAAATACTACAAGAATACCAACATAATAATATCATAAAAATACCACCAGAATATCAAAAGAATACCACCACAAGAATATTGCATAAATTTTTATGTGGCAGTATTATGATAGCATTCATAATGATTTCTATCCGTTCTTCACCGACACCATGAAAAATTTCTTCCTAAAAAATGAGTATATCTTTCTTGTATAGAATGCAATGGTTTGCCTCAGCAGAATGATTGTTGTTAGCAACGAGAACGATTGAAGATTAAGTACATTTAAAGTCCTCATCCTTCTCACTTCATTTTCATGTTTTCATGACATGTTAAGTTCCAAAAAACAATTAGTTAAGGAGCTTGTAGGCTTGAAAATGCTATGACAAACATTATTTATTAACTCACTTTGTTGTGTGGATAGAATTCCCAAGCAAAATAATTTTTTATTATATGTTTTTGACCACATCTTCCTAATGTAGCACAAATCATGTAGCCAATCATTATCGTAGAGGTTCCCTTTTTGAAGCATCTCTGCCCATGTTTATTTAAACTCTTCTTCTAAATCACATTTACTCATGCATGTATAAAATAAATCACTTATTACTATATTATCAATAGAACAATGTACCTTTAAAGATAATTTCTTGAATATATGTCATTGCATGATCTATGAGGAGTGTGTGACAATGTTTTGTCTATGCTTCTTGTCATTGCTTGATTTTGGTCAGTGATGATTGTTAATGAACGCTTGTTACCCATGATATAAATAAATGCATTGAATAATCAATTGAAAAACTCGATAATCTCATCAGATAAAAGTCTTACTCCAAAAAGAACATTTTGTCAGTAGTGATTTACTCCAATAAAAAAAACACAACATAAGTTATATTTATTCAATCAATAAGTTGTATTAAAAATTACGACATCCTCGAAGCAGTCATAATCAACTCTCAACATGCCATCCCTCCTAAAAAAGATTATCAACCAACCTAATTCATTAAGCTGAAAATCTCATGCAAATATACTATTTTGAACTTTCATAACTGTGAACAACAAAATTAAAGCAGTGGTGCCACCATCCCCAATCCCCGTTCTTCTTTCCTTTTGAAGAAAATTTAATGCATTTTTTTTAAAAATGTCAAATTCTCAACCCCGCAAACTTCCGTCAGAATAAAGTTGAATGCATCAGTGGTTTCAATACCTGCTTTTGTCATTAATTTGAGCACATCTCCATTAATGTCATTGATGCTTCGACTATATTTCAAGAGATGCTAATCACCTGGCTCAGTTAGGGAACGATTATGAATTTCTATAAATTTTTTAAGCTTCCAATTGCCATCAAAATCAACGTCATATTGAATCATAGCTCAACAATTTGTCACTGTATGGTCTTTTAAACTTCGTTGTGTTTTTGATGAGTTGCTCCTTCTTAAAACCCAGCTTTACCACATAAAAAATCCATACCTTTTATTTTCTTTGAGTTTGGCCAATAATTCACACGGTTCTTTCGAATAATAAATCCAATATGATGTGCATAACCACAATATAATTATACACATCATTTTCATTCTGCAAAATGGTGTCAAGCAATTTGTCCATAATTGAATCATCACCACATTTCTTGGCTCATTAAACTGTGCATGTGTGCATATTGTTCAAGAAAGTTTTAGCAAAATGGTTTAAACTAATATGAGCAACAACAAGCACACACTACCATAAGTAAACAAAAAACAAAAAAAACACCACCAATAAATAAACCAAATACCATAAAAAACCACCATACTACAACCAGTAAACAACTACAATCACAAGTATAACACCAAAATATCGAAATAATATCAATCAAATTACTATGAGAATAACACCAAAATACTATTTGAACATCACCAAAATAAAACAAGAGTATCATATTAATACCACGAGAAAACCAATTGAATACCACCATAATATCATAATGATAAAATTATAATGCCACAAGAATACCACTCAAATACCACAATAATATCATCAAAATATCGTCAAAAAATTACAAAAAAACCACCATAATACCTCAATAATATCACAATAATAACACTATAGTACCACCAGAATACCATCTAAATATTCTTGTGGTATTATGGTTGTATTCTTGTTATGGTATTCTGGTGGTATTCGGGTGATATTCTGATGATATTATTGTGATATTATTTTAATATTATATTGATAATTATAGTGGTATTATGATGATATTATTGTAGTATTTTGGTGCGATTCTCGTCGTATTCTAGTGATATTTATTTGTTGTGTTAATGATATTCTTGTGACATTATATTGATATTATTGTTGTATTATGATAGTATTATAGTTCTATTATGGTATTATTCTCATGATATTCAGGCGATACTATTGTGATATTCTGGTTGTATTGTTGTGGTTATTGTAATATTATTGTGGTATTATGATGATATTAATGTGGTATTCTAGTGATATTACTATGCTATTGCCATTATAATTTAAGTATTCTTCTAGTGCCCATTTGGTTGTATCATGGTCATATTTTGTCTTATATCTATATTTTTTTCTCATATATGAACAAAAAATCGCTCCACTCTTGAAAGAAACAAATCAAAGCTTAAAAACAACCAATTCCGGGTAAAACAGTAGAAATTAATATCACAAGTCTCATTAAGTGAAACTACAAATAAAATCTATAAACTAAAATATATGAAACAAATCCTAATAAATGTCATCATTTTAAAAGCTGTGAAACTCACATCCTTTTATTTTCTTCATATTTGGAGATCGATCGACTCATCTCTTCAAGCGGACGGATGGCGCTGTTGATGGCTGCGGGCTCTGAGCCCCTCACAGATAGAGAAAGGGATGACTTGGATGCCATTGCTTCCCTGAAAGAGTCTGCCGCCATCGAACTAAAGGTGAATCCCCTTCTCCTAGATTTCTATTGTCTTCCGCACCCTTGAAAGCAAAAGGACGTTTTTTAGATGTTTGTTTCATAATTCAATCGCGTTCCAATTGCAGGAGCTGGGCAACAAGCATGTGAAAATGGGGAAGAGGTATTACTCGGATGCTATCGATTGCTACAGCAGGGCTATCCTTCAGAATTCCTTGAGCGATTCAGATCAATCGGTCCTCTTTTCGAATCGCGCCCATGTGAATTTGATGTTAGGGAACTACAGACGAGCTATTGCTGATGCTGAAGAGGCAATCAGACTCTGCTCAACCAATGTTAAGGTAGATCTTCAACCTGCTATTCTCGTAAGGGTTCATTTGACTTCTGATATATATAAAATTTTTAATCGCTTTCGTTGGATTTTTTAGGGAGGTTTGTGGTGTTTGAAATCAATGTTATTATCTAATTATATCCAACAAAATGATGCATTTGTCAAATGTAATTGGTTTTAAAAACATGTCTTAGAATTTAGAACAACAAATGAGCCCTAATGTTAATATTGTGCGTGCATACTTTCCCATTAATCACAATGATCAAACTTGTTAGCTAGAGAAATAAAAAAAAGGGGAAAGGTTTGTGTCAAGTTTTTGGAAGAATGATTAATAAGTTATCTGTTAACCAAATATCCCTGACTTCCATAAAAGGCTTATACAAATGCATGCTAATTTAGGGTGCATTTGGGGCGGTGGCGATGTGGTGTCACACCGCAGTTTTTTCTGTTTGATAAAACTGTGTTTTGCTCCCGTTCTCAAAAAGTCGCAGCTTTTAGCTCCGTTTTCCCACCAAAACTGGCTGCCTGCGGTGGCTGCTGTAAAACTACGGTTTGATCATTTCAATAATAATAATAATAATAATAAATTGTAATAACTACCACAACTTTTGAACAACAGCTTCACAAATGCTTCTTCAAATAGCTGCAGCTGATCTCCAAACAATTAATATCAAGATGATGAACACATTGATATTTTTTTTTCTTAACTCAGACACACTCTTATATGTGCTTGGTCTTGAACTAAAAATCTTGTGGTTGGAGACAAAGTACCCAACCATTAGGCCAAGTGGGTTGCACGAGTAAGTTTTGTTTTGTAAAATCTTAATGTTGGTCATCTTGATTATAACTTACCTATTAGCAAAAAATTTCATATTTTAAATAGATAGATGAATTTGAGGATTAATTTTAGACAAATTACGTGTAAATGATAAGCAACTTTTGTGGTCATCTGATATTTATAAACTACTCTAAACTCATTTTCAGACCATTGATTTTTGTATGAGATCCTTAAGCATCCTCATATGCTTCAAGCATTCATATGTTTGAAATCTTGTAAGTTTGAATAAGAGCATTATATATAATTCATTGAATAAATCTTAGGTATAACTTGAAGCATAGAAAGCAATACAAATGATTGTAGTAGCTTAATAGGAAAGATCATACATCAAAGTGAAACTTTGTCTTGGATATGGTTTTCCATGTAGAGGCTTCATATGATTAAAAAGTTGATTTTGCATGAACTAATTCGCTGATGAAGAACACACGAGTTCTTTCCAGTTTGGTGTTTTTACCTTGCAGGGATTGCAAAGGATTGTACAATTTTATGAAAAAGTGGTTTATTTTCTAGAAAAAAAATCAAAATGCTATGTAAAAATAAATTATCAGAACCTTTTGAGATTTAAAATTCTAGCACTTTTATGTCAAATTATTAAGACTCCTGACCACAATTTGTTAAGATAATCACCATGGACTCATGAGTTATGCTATGGTCCCCAATCCCTAGTCAATTGACCAAGTGGTAGAACTTTGTGCTCTAAGAGCAATCAAGAGTTCAAATCCCATTAGAAAAGTCCTTACAGAAACTCATATTTCTCAAATAGTTTAGCTTTATAAGATGCCTACTTTCTAATATAGTTATATTTAAATTCATAATTCGGAGCTATTTAAAACTTAGATAAATTCATTATTTACTATTCACATAGAGGCTTTTTGGTTTGGTGAAAGAGGGTGTAAATTAAAAGAAATACATCAATTTATTTTACACTAGGTGTTTGGTTTTAGGAAAGCATAATGCAGAGTAAAATTTTAAAGTACTTGAAATTTATTATGTATTTTATTTTAAATGTATTTGAAATTCATCCAAATTTGAGTGAATTACACCACAAGAGTGAACCTTTGCTGGTCGCCCACCATCTGCCGCCTGCTTTCATCTGTTGCGGCCACCACTTGCCATTTGTAGTCACCATCCACTTATCACGGCCCACATTGCCACAACCATCACTATTTGCCTCCTACCAATCGTCGTCTACCACCCACTGTCATTATTGTCACTTGGCGACTATTGTCGCCGCCTGTCCCTTTGTTTTATATTTATTTTACTTTTCTTAAATCAAACAAAAATAATGTAAATACATGCACATGTTTGACATTGAACCAAATAACTCTAAAATATTTTAAATACACCAGAATTCAATTATACTAAATTTTTCTTACACTGCATTCCATTGTCGGCAAAACCAATAACTCCTTAGTCTTTTTTAAACAAACATAATTGTCATGCATGTTTTGGATGGATAGTTCATAGTTTAGGACAAATGTAAGATGCCAATTGCCATGCAATTCAGCTAAACAAATAACTCCTTAATCGTTTTTAAACAAACGTAATAGTCATATATGCTTCAGTTGGATAGTTCAAAGATTAGGACAAATATAAGAAGTCAATCACCATACAAACAATGACATGGAAGTGAATCAATTGTTAAATTTCTATGGTGTGAAGCGTTATTTAATCATCAAAATGACTCTAAGATTTGAAGGTCATGTTAGCATTAGAAATGGTATGGTAAAGTTCTCATGTTATGTATTTCCATTTATTTATGGCTCTAGCCCTGTAATTGTATCTTGATTGAAGGTTTTAATTTCATTTCTTCTTGCATGTAAGATGAACCTTGGTGATTCTCTTGATTGTTTTTTATTCCAGTAAGTTATGCTGAAACAATACTAAAATCCAGAGTTGGATTTGTGAATATTGTACAGGCTAACTATGCTTTCTCAAGGGTTAAAGTTGTATAAAATAATTATTTTTTTGGTGTGTATCTATGCTTATTCTCTTGATGTTGTTTATATGTTTCTTAAATAGAGAATTGATTTACATCTTGATAAATATTTGAAGATGTCAATAATGGAGCAAACCTGTGAAATAGGCGTACTATCGTGGTGCAAAGGCAGCCTTCTCATTAGAATTGTTAATGGAAGCTGAATCCTTCTGTAAGAGGGGTCTAGAACAATTTCCCACCAACGAGGAGATGAAGCAATTGTCTAAACGAATTGATTCACGAAAAAAAGAGCTTGAGCATCACACAAGTCAAATTTTAAAGGTTGTGGAGTCTGCCGAGGTTAGCCATTTACTAAGGACTTATTTGGGACCACTTCTGTTTTTTATTTTTTATTTTTTTTTTCATTTTTATTTTAAAAACATATTTACTTAGTGCATTTTTCGTTTTTATTATTTTGCTTTAAAAAAAATTAGTTTGTTCTTAAAAATAGTCAAAATATGTAAAAATTGTTTTGAGGGTTTTTAAAAATAAATAAACATATTATAACATATCAAACATGTTTAATTTCAATTAAAACATGAACTAAACAAATTAAAAACAAAAAATAGAAAACAAAATCAAAAGTGATCCCAAATGGACTCTAAAAACATAACTTTTTTTATTTACTTGGTTGCTATATATATTTTTTATGAGTTACTCGATTAATGTATATTCTAAATGTGAAATGCATAGGAACTAGCCTCTGCTTTCAAAACTAGAGGATTGAAGCTTGGTAAGGCTTTGTATGAAGAACTTACTGGATTGCAAAAACCAAAGTTAGATAAAAGCGGCAACCTACACTGGCCAGTTCTTCTTCTTTATCCGGAAGTTATGTCAAGCGATTTCATTGAAGAATTCTGCGAGTCTGATATGTTTTCAGCTCACCTTGATATGATATCCTTCTTGTGTGAACAAATTTTGCAATTATATTGATTTCTTGAATGTTTGAAGTTTTCTTAATTTTCAAACATGTATTCAGATGGTTCTTCTACACTACCATGGGACAAGGAGAATGCCTACACCCGTGAAGCTATTGAATTGTTCTATCAGGTTTACATTCAAGTTTTTGAAGATATTTCTTATATAGTTTGAATATATAAGAAAGTATACTTGTGTTGGGGGATGCTGAAGTTCTTTTTGATCTTATGAGCATATTATTCATGTTTAGATGGGCATATCATTTGCTTAGTTGCATTCATTTACAATTAACATACCTGCATGCTCCCTTTATGAATTTAACTTATGAACAAGTAATTTTCTTTTCCAATTTTTAGCAAATATGTCCTCCTGCATGTTGTTGTTATATATGGTAGATTCCTTATTGAAAAGCTATTATATTATGGAGATACGATAAGATGTCCTAATAATTTGGGAAATATTTTCCTTTTATGCATTTCCCTATTTGTATCCTGCCATATGATGTTAATAGCCTCGTTATATCTAGTCAATAACACCAAATTCAATTATTCTCAATATGGTATTAGAGTAAGGAAAACTTAGTTGCCCACTTGAATCCCACTTCACAAGCCTATCTAGCTTGCACCCCACCTCGCCACCACCTGCTTTGTTGCTTTATCTCCCATACTTTGTAGCTTGCTTGACTATGCGTCACTAGCCTGCATATTCTCGCTCACTGATGTAACCGCTGTTTCACTTTACCCACTAGCTTGCCTAGTCCATACATTGCAATTGCTTGTTAGTCACCAACAATCGTATTGCATGCCGGTACGCCGATGCTTGTTATTCTGGTCTTCGCCTATACTGCTCTTTAGATTGTTTTGTATGCTACTTTCACTCGCTATTTGTCGCCCTTCTTGCTTTTGCATCTACACCCCAATGATTTGCACTCAATGATCATGGTATCATAGCTTCATTGTATCCTTTACTTTATGTGAAGCATTCTTCTTCGTTGGCATATTTATCAAGTTTAATGACACCAGTTAGTTCTTATGGCACTTTTGTTTTCTCATTGATTATCATGACCTCATGACCTCTTCATCTCTGCTTGATAATATAGGGTTTTATAGGGTATTTGAGATGAATTACTTCATTGCAGGCTTTTTTCAATTGATACTAAAGTTTGACAGAAACAAAATGAAGAGTTTGTGGTTGCTGATTTTCCAGCTTTAATCTAATTTTTAGCATGTAAAATCTTAATTGATGAAAGATTGAACAGTTCTCAATCAGGCCACTGCTCCACCAACTTTTGATTAGATTGGCCTCACTATGGGGCATCATGGTGGTCACGATCAAAGTGTCCAAACTAATAGTGAGCGTGCCCGTGGGAGGTAGTCCTTTCCATCTCACTCCTTGTGGTCGAATACTATCATGCTTTATAGTGATGTTGGGCCATCCGACATGCTTCTAGAATCTATCCTGCTGATGGTTCTCCCACTACTCTTGCTCCTTCAAGTTTTATCATACTCACTTAGGAGGAATATGATATCTTGATTTACAACTTTCAGGCCTCTACATGTACTTCTCATTTTGAACTTCCCTTGTCTCTTCCATAATTGTCTCCATAAGTATGTCTTGAAGACTTGAATTATAGATTAAGGCGCCTTTTTTCATGTGATAAATAATGAAAAAAATTTCTCCACACTTCACTTGACCTGCCATCCTCCCATGATTGTGGTGAATGGTCCTCTCATTCCATTTAGTAAAGACATTGTGAATTCTTAATAAATTAGATCTGTCACCAATGTTTCTATAAATGTATAATTGTAGAAATAACTTGGGGAGGAAAATTGCTTCTTTTATTATTCACAAATAGGGTACATATATATTAATAAATCAATCCCTCATTATTTATAAACTTACCAAACATATCTCACCTAAATTAGAAAAAAAATTATTTTGAATAAAGAATAAAAAAAACGTAAAATATGAATGACATAAACCAAATCAATGGTTTCCTAAGATATTCCACATTTCAGAGGTATATATTTTTACATTTCTCCTCAAGTTGGGTCGTAGATGTTGTAGAGAACGAGCTCGGTATTGAATTATGAGAAGATGTTGAAAGGAAGAGCTTTGGTGTATTTCGGTACTGCCAATCACCTTCTTCGACTCCACCACTTTGGTGTGTCATGAGGTTCGTGTGCTACTCTGAATTTCTTTTAAAGTTGAATTTGAAGTCTTCATCCCATGCTTGGTTTTCAATCCCAAGAGTATTTAGGGCCACTTCTAGTTGATTGCGGTTGTTTTTTGCTATAATTTCTGCAGGTAGATGGAAGGTTGTTGCAGGAAATGAAAGGTTGTAGGTAATGTTGTAAGGAAATAGACAACCTGTTGGGAAAGTTGCAGGGTGCAACATGAATGGAAGACCGAGAAAGGGTCTGCAATAGGGAGAAGCTCCGGTGGAGGGCATGCAGTAGGAAGACTAGTTGCAGTGAGAATTTTGGAGGGGCCTATAACAGAGATAATTTCTGTTGCTGGGAAGAACTACGAAAGGGCCTACAGGGAGAAATCCGACCGAGGAAATTTCAGCCGCCTGCACAGAATAGTTTCTAGTGAAGGAAGCTTTTCTTCTAGGAAGAATTGGGTGGCAAAAATTGAACATAGGAGATCCTGTAGGGAGAATTCAGTGCTAGGAAGAGAGGAACTACGAAGGAGGGCCTGCATATCGGCTCAAAGGATTTTGATGGAGGAAGGCCTACAACAGGAGTATTCCAATCGTAGGGAGATTTTGGCAGCAAAGGAGAATAAAGGAGGATCTGAAGGAAGTATTTTGCGGCCCGTAGGAATTATTCTGACGTTGATGGCTAAAGGAAGAAGCTCTGGAGGAGGGCCTATTGCAGGGAGAAGCTCTGGAGGAGAGACTGTTTCAGGGAGAAACTTCGGATGAGAGCCTACAAGAAGGCAGGTGGTTATAGGTAGGGGTGTAAGTTAGTCAAGCCGACTTGATAAGTGGCTCGTGAATTGAGCTCGATGAGCTAATAAGGCAAGATCAAACCAGCTCCTCGACTCATTAGCTCGTAAGCTGACTCATTTAAAAAATTATTAATATAAAATATACTCAAAATATATTAAATTTCAAGTTTTTATCTTTAAGGTATTAAAAATGTTAAAAAGTAATATTTTATATTGTGTACTGGGTGATTTCTTATTTTTTTTCTCTTAATTGTTTATTATATGTCTTCTTATTATAAAGCTAGCTTAAAATGTTATCATTTTCTCTCTTTAATATTAAAAAAGTCGGCTCGTACTCTTAAACTTAAGCTCGAGCTCGAGCTTGATAAAATTAATCAAGCTCAAGCTCAAGCCTAGGGTGGTTTGAGCTTGACTCAACTTGTTTACACCCGAAGTTATAGGAAGGATTCTGTCGGTTGTTGCTGCTGTAGTGGAGGACTTAGGAGGTTTATCGGAGGAATAAGACCTATAACAAGGAGGGCCTGCAATAAGATACTTCCATTTGTATGAAGAGTGCTAATAGAGAAGATTTATGGCGTTAGTTGGAGGAATCACTGCGGCATAAAGGTTTGGCAACTTGTAGTGGAAAACCGGTGAATGCAAGCCTGCAACAGAGAATGTTCAGAGTTGTTGCTGCTGTTAGTAGGGATAATCCACCACTGTTGTTGTTGTTGGTTGAAGTTTTTGCTGTATGAAAGGGCAACCTAGTAAGAAGGCCTGGCGGAGCTCACTGGATGCCGCCGGGGTAAGGAGAAGACCGACGGAGGCTGGTAGGTGCAATAGCGACATGAAACAAGCAGATGGAGGAGATGAATGATAAATGGCGAGAAGATTCTAACGGAAGAGATAAACTTCCGTGCGTTGAGAGAAGATTGGAACGACAGAGCACCGTCATCTCATGCGTACACGAGGAGATGAAACAACAACCCTATTCCAGTGCGTACGAGAGAAGTCTTTGATGCATCGAAGATGGTGTCAGAGAATTCTAAGGATTCTTCGTTGTCATGTTGTTGCTGCTGCTGTTGCTAGAAGATTCCAATGACATAGGCAGAGGAATAGAGAGACAAGGAATTTAAGAGGACTTTCAACGGCTGGAGAATGCAGAGGAGCGCTGTATTTTCTTTTCGTCAGCATTTGTAGCTTCTTTGGGAGGAGGCAACGACTTTTGCTCCGATTCAACATTGTATTCCGCCTCCTCACCATCTTCATCTCCATCTTCTAACTATTTCAGAAGGAGGAGAGGTATTCAAATCCTGGATACCATTCAGGGTTCAAGAATCTCTTAGCTGTGATAGTAGGTGCTTTTGCAAGAAGGAGATATTGAAGGAAGGAGATCCGACTGGAAAGGGTTGACTGCAGGAAGGATCTGGCTTCATGAAGGATTCATTGCCTTGGCACATATATATAGAGAAATCAATCCCTCCTTATTTACAAACTCATCAAACACATCTCACCGAAATTAGGAAAGGAAATAATTCTGAATAAAAAAATTAGAAAAACATAAAATAGGAAGAGAATAAGTCAAATCAAAGTTTTCCTAAGATATCTCACATGAGAGAGGTATATATGGAAAGAACTAAATCTTCTCAGATTTTGACAATAATCTATATAGAAAGTTATGAACTCTTATAATTATTTTGTAACCTTTTATCAATCTCATTGTGTCTTTTAGGATGTCATCTCGAAGAATATGATTGTTGGAGTTGTTGAAAGAGGTTGGGTCTACCATTCAATCATGGTTGTTCATTTCTCCCTTTCCTTCACCCTTAGTCATTTTTATTGGCATTTTAAATTGGGTCATCTCTACATATTTTGGGATTTTGTGTGTAGTATATGTACTCAAAATTGACTGTCATAGAAGCATCTATATGGTAAAACATTACTTGCAAAGTTTCTTTGTCATCAAAGATCTAGGACAACATTATTGCTTCATTGGAATCAAAGTTCTTATGGTAAAATGTGAGCATCACTTAACGAAGAATATATGCTACTAATCTTCTTGAAAACTATGCCTTCTTGATTGTAAATAACACAAAAATAGGCCTGAAAAATCTTTTGATGAAGATATTTGTTGTTTTTTGAGTAGTGGGAATAAACGACATGCAAATAACTCCACAATCAGTTTTCTCTTTTATGAA